CTCCTCCTCCTCCTCCTCCACCACCACCATTCGCACTGCAACATCCACACGCTCCACGCGAACAGCATCCTCCTCGACCTCATCGACAACTTCGAGCACAGCGACTCCTCGAGCAACATCCGGCAGCGTACTATCGATCTTCTACCCGCGCAACTCGTACACGCCCTCGGAGCTTCCCGTTGGCGGCACGCAGTTCTACGCACAGACGCCGTTCGACCTATCGCGCGCGACGTCGGTGACGCTCAACTACTCGGTCTTCTTCCCTGCCTCGTACGACTTTGTGCAGGGCGGTAAGCTTCCCGGTCTGTACGGTGGCGACGAAGGCTGTGGCGGCGGCAACAGCGCCCAGTCCTGCTGGAGCACTCGTATGGCGTGGCGAACCAACGGAACAGGAGAGCTCTACGCCTACCTCCCGCAGGACAAGCAGAACATCACCGCCCTCCTCCAAGTGCCCCCCTACAGCTACGTCAATCCCGACTACGGAATGTAAGTCCCCAATCCCCCCCAGCAGCGATCAAGCTGGATTCACAAGCTGACACTCGTACCACGCCCTAGTTCACTCGGCAGGGGAGCGTTGGAGTATGCTCGCGGCGGATGGACAAATATCTCGCAGACCATCACGCTCTCGACCAACAACACGCACCCGAACGGCATCTTTGACATTGCAGTCAACGGTGTGCGAGCCATCTACTTTGACCAGGTCTATTTCCCCGCCCGAATCAAAGGCATCCTCTTCTCCACGTAAGTCGAGCCCATCCCCCTCTCTCGTCGTCTGTCTGCACGGTTTTCGCTGACTTGTACGAGGCGTGGTTGGCAGCTTCTTTGGCGGTGCGACACGCGACTGGGCCACGCCGCGCGACCAGTACTCGTACTTCCGCGCCTTCTCGATCCGCATCAACGCCATCTAAGACGCATCTACGCCATCTAAGATTGCTGGGTGATCTGTTTGAACATGATGTCGAAATCCACGTTGCCGCTGCGTTCCGCATCCTGGCTCGGACTGACGGGATCCACCCTGTACCCCTGTTGCCTGTAGAACTCGCATGCGGGCTTGTTGTGGTCGAAAACCGTCAGCATGACCTTCCTCATCCGTGCCGCCTTTCCCAGGGTATATACGATATCCATCAGTTCCTTGCCCAATCCATCGCGCTGGTTGGCTTTGCGAATGTGGATCTCGTACAGATAGATCACCTCCACCTTGTCCTCGCCCGCGCGCCGCGTCGGGTCGCCCTCGACGGACCGCTCCGTGTCGAAGCGGAACATGGCGAAGCCGGCGATCTCGGCGCCTTCCTCCGCGGGCGGCCGGATAATGGCAAAGCGCGACTCGGCATCGAAGAGCTCCTTCTTCTTTTCCGAGGGTTTCCAGCCCAGAGTGCTGTTGCGATACATCGCCTTCATGTTGGCCTCGAACAGCGAGAAGACGCGCTTGCGCTGCTCGGACGATAGCTCCGACGCATGCTGCAGCTCCAGAGAGTAGCCGGACGCTTTGAGCCGCGCCGAGAGCGGGTTCTTGGCGCGCGTGCTGCGTGCCTTTTGCACCATCTTGAACAGGTCGCCTGACGACGCGGCACGAGCCGCAGACAGCGCAGCTGCATAGTCCACCTCGTCTTCCGCTTTCACCGACGCCGCCGACTCGGTCTTGACCTTGCTAGTCCCCGCTTCCGCCTCGGTCTTTACTTTGCCCGACCCCGAGTCCGGCTCCGTCTTGAGCGCCGCATCTTTAAGCGCCTTACCCTTGCGACCCAGCAGACCTGCGGCCTTGAGCGGACACGGCCGATCCACGATCTGTGCCTCTCCCTCCTCGTCCTCGACCTCCTCCTTGACCGTCGCAAAGCCCTTGGCGGAGCAGTTGGCGCACCGCTTGCCGTGCTGGATGAGCAGCACATGCAGCGGATACTTGAGATGGCCCGGCACGCGCTCGTGCAGATGATAGTACGTCTGGTCTCGATTCGCCTTCTCCGGCACCCACCCCAGACTCTTGCACAGCCGAAAGACGTGCGTGTCGACGGCCATACTCTGCCTGCCGATGCAGAAGGCCAGGACGCAGCTGGCGACCTTGGGTCCGACACCGTTGAACGACACGAGCTCCTGCATAATCTCGTCGTCCGTTGCGCTGTGCAGATGGTCTAGCGAGAGCTTGCCGTGTTTCTCCATGGTCTGCGACAAGATCCCCTTGATGGTGCGTGCCTTGTTGTTCGCCAGACCGCCGCATCGGATGGCTTCCACCAGCTCCGACTCGGGCGCAGCGTGGATGGCTTCCCAGTTCCGGCGGCCAAAGTGGTCGGTGAGAGAGCGGTGCGCGGCAGCCGAGTTGCGGTTCGACGTGTTGCAGCTCAGCACGGTGCGGATGGTGGCATCGAGCACCGAGGGGACATCGCCACACCCGCCGTACTTGTCGTCGCCCTGCGGCGGGGTGTATCGCGGTAAGCCCCTGCCGCCCTCCGACTCGCGCTTGTAGCCATGGATTTCGCCCAGGATCCATGCTACCTGCTCTGCTTCGGCTGCGGTGGGCAGCGGGTGGTCGGGAAACGGTGATCCGGTGATGGACGCCTTGTACGAAGCCAGCTTGCGCTCCGATGTGCTTGCCTTTTTGGGCGATCCCTGCACGGATCCTGTATGCTCTTGTTTGATGGTCGCCTTGAGAAGATCCTCGATCTCGGAGGGATCGGCTTTGATCGCCTCGCGCTTGCGCTTGGGCGTGCTCGGCGGCGGCAACCCGTCCACGTCCGCTTCGCGCTTGATGGGTGTGGTCGAGCTCGATCGCGCCGCCACCTGGCGTGTCGACCTGCGCGTGACCGTCATGCTCGTTCTGGTCCAAGCCGACGCGAGGTTGGTCGAGTAGCTGCGGGTGGGGAGGGCGGCCAGACGCGGCAAGGCAGCCGCAATACTGCGCACGGCGTGTAAAGACCGAATCGTGGCGCGACTCAGCGGTGCGATCCAGAGGTTTTCCTGTCAGCTGATGCTACACCAACGGCTGTATCTTATCGTGAAGAGCGACTGTGAAGGTGAAGCAGCGATGGTGGTGGGGATGTGAACATGAAGAACATGGCTTCCCCGCCTCCCAATGCTTAGCAAGAAGATGACGTCGAACCACTTCGCGCACCGCTTCTCGGCACTTCGCCAGTCTCCCACCGCTGCCAAAGTGGAGGTCCAATTTCATTCTGTACGACACTCACGCCCTAACAAACTGGCTAACTAGCTCAATCGACGGCCCTCCTCACACCTTCAGCCTAAGCAGCCAACGACGCAGTGGCACGATCATGAGCTATGCTTGCATGCGGTGCGGTGGCGGCTACTGATACAGAATGCGCACAAGGCCGAGATCGCCCGCCTCGATGAGCTCCCTGTCGATGCCGGCGCTCGCCCAAGCAGCGACGCCGCTCTCGTCGGGATCGACGCCCCACGCCGAGCCCATGCCGAACCCGCTCGAGTCGCCCTGTGTGCCCGTCCGATTCGACTGGTGACCCGAGCTCGCGACGCCACTCAGATTCGAGCGACCAGCATTGACCACGCCGCTGAACCCGGACATCCTGGGCTTGCTCCATCCCGAACTCGCGCCGGCGCCGGCGAACATGGATCCGGCCGCACCGGGCCACCTCCTCCAGTCGCTGCGCTGGGTGGAGGCCATGTCGTCGTCGTCCGTGTCGCCGTCGGACATGCGCTCGTGCGCGTGGCGCGCCACGCCGATCTGCACCAGCATCTTCTCGAGCTCGGGCCAGCTGATCGAGAACGCGGTGCACAGCTCGTCGTCGCTGTGCAGGCCATCGAGCATATCGACCAGCTCGGACGGGATCACCACCGCCGCCTGCGGGTGCGGGTGCGTGCCACTGGCTCCTGCAATCCCAGATGCTCCAGTCGAGACGATGCCGCTACCGCCTGCGCCACTGCCTCCGGGGATGGCGGTGCTCAGCCCTATAGCACTGGCGCGCTTGCGAGGCGAGCGTGGGTTCCCCGATCCAGCCGCGACAGATGCCCGGTCGTTGTCGTGCGTCTGGAACGCCACCGCCGCCACGTCCATCGCCGTCGTCGTCGGATGGCGATAGTTGGCTCGACGCACGCGGTTGAGCCGTTTGGTCGGCGACGTGCCAAAATTGCTCCCGCCCGCGCTGAGATGCACCGAGTCGCCCAGGTTGGACGCACTCGCCGTGCTGCCTCCGCCCGTGCCTCCGCCGAGCACAATGTTGCTCAGCCGCGCTTCGGACCCGACTCGTCGCGCAGGCTGACGCGCGGTCACACCGGGGCTGTCCACGCTACCATCGCGCCCGATGCGCTGCGAGCCGTATGCGCCACTCATGCCGGACAGCTCGCGCGGGCGTCGGTCGCGCGGCTCGCGACTGCCACTCTGATCACGTCGGCCCGGCGTGTCGGCACGGATGCCCGAGTCGCCCGGCTTGGCCATGGGCGAGGTGACCACGGGCGAGTTGCGTACCGTCGACACCACCGACGTGTCGTAGCGCACGCCATCGGCGGTCCAGCGCGCGCCGAGGTAGATCGGATACCGATGCACGCGGCGCAGGAAGCCTTGGATCACGCCGAACGAGACGAAACGGCGAACGTCGATGCCCTTGTCGTCCAGATCGTTGTCCTCAATCCATTCGTGCAGCGTCTTGCCTCCACGGAGCAGCGAGTAGAGCCTGAGCAGCTCGGGATACGACGGCATCGGATAGCCCGGCCGGGTGACATAGGTGGCGCACTCGCGACCCAGCGCCTCGTCGTCGGCCATCTTAGCGATGGCGGGCCGCACGGTGTACATGTTGAAATACTGGAAGATGTCGACGACAACGATGCAGCCGTAGTAGACGAGATGCTCGAGGCACGCGCGCGTGAGGCCGAGATCAGCGTCTGCGAGCTGCGCGATGCGCTTGACGTGGTGCACGCCATCAATGAACGGCAGTATACGTCGCAACGTGAGATCCCAGTTGCCATCGACGCGCGACTGTAAGTCCAGCAGCGCCACGGGCACATCCCAGTCGTTCACTGCGGGCGGATTGGGATACACGGGGAACAGCTTGAGGTTGATCGCATCGCGCACCGTGCGGCCGAGTCCGTGCGGCGGCTCACGCCTCTCGACGAGCGCCGTGCGCTTCGACGTGTGGGCCGTCTCCGAGCGCAGTGCATTCACCGAGTTGGACAGCGCCGCATCGATGGTCCTGAGCGACACGATGCTCTCGGTCAGATGCTCGAGCGAGTTGGACTCGGGATCGGCCGCGCCGGCGCCAGCTGTGCTGCCGCGGCTCGAGCGGCGCGTGCCAGCAGCCGTGTTGACGCTGTCGTACGTGGCGCTGTCGCGATTGGTGAGCACATTGCCCAGGCTCTCGGCCGCACTGAGCTCCCGGCTGAGCTCGCTCTGTCGCTTTGTGCTCACAATGCCCATCGCATTGTCGCGGCTCTCTTCCGAGGGGAACGCTCCCTGACCAGGATCATCGGTGATCGCCATGATGGTCGACGACCTGGCAAGACTCGGTCTGCGGCCTTCGATGGCGGTGGGTGAGATTGCGGATGCGGGCGAGTGAGGACCGTCAGATCCGACTCCGCTGGCGCCCGAGGCGCTGTTGCTTCGCAGCATGGGGATTGCATCGTTGCGAATCGTAGAGAGCGGACTGAGAATACGACCGCTGTCGGAATGCGAAGATCCCGACGCGGATGTTGAGCGAGAGCGCGCCCCAGCTCCTCCTCCGCTGGCGCTCTGGTGCTGCTGGTTGTGCATGGTGCTGCGAGTGGTCGGCGAGGCTCTGGACGGGCTCGACATTTGGATTTGCTGCATCTGCTTCTGCTTCAGCCGCTCGTTGATGAGGTTGCGATGATGCTCGCCGCGCAGCGAGGCGAAGCTGGCACCGAGCGAGATAAAGTCGTCGGGTCCCAAGATGGGCGAGACGAGATTGTGGGTCTCGGGGCTGTTGGGTTTGGAGTTGGACTTGAGATAGGACGTGTAAGGCGCTTCGGGCAGCGCGACGAAGCTCTCGCAGTACGAGCTGAGGTCTTCGAAGAGCTGCTCGATGATGGCGTACATGCGCGGCAGGCTCTTTGGGCTCGAGAGGAATGACTGCGTCTCCTCGAGGCCGCGGAGCACACGTCCACACTTGCGCACCACGGGCTCGTACGCCCGCACGTCTGCCTGTCCTTCAAACACAAAGCAGAGGTTGAAGATGAAGTTGTTGCGCTGGTACTTTGCCGCGTCTTCGATGAGAGTCGGAAACCCGAGAATCTTGTAAGACCGGAGCTCCCTTTGAGGCTTTGCGCTGGCGTCTGCGCGAGACGCTTCCCGTGGGCGCACCGAGGATGCGCGCGACGAGCCGCCGGACCGTACGGATCCCGACCTTGGCTTCGCTGCCACGGACGCAGCGCGTGAGGGGGGCGGCTCGTCATCGCGCTGCGCCACGCTTACTGTGCCTCGTGCTATGGAAGTGACGAGCCTGCCGCACAGGGGCGCTTTTGGGATGAGGTATTCGGAGAGCGCAGAAAAGTCGAACAGCGGCTCTCCGCCAAGCACGCCGACATTTACGTTTGTGTGGGCATGTGTGTGTCCCGTTTTGGCGTTGGGACCATCGTGCTGGTCGCCCGACTTGGACGGATCGTGCTCTTCGGTGATGGCGCCCTCGGGGACTTGGTAAACGACCTTGGGGCCTTCGGTGGGATGGAAGACGGCGTAGAAGACGGCGAGCAGGCGCGGAAGGAACTGCTCGTCGAGAGCCGGTATCGACATGCTGGCGCCGCGCCCTGCGAAGGTTCAGGTGCCGAGATACGGCAGGTTGCACGTGGATTAGCTAGGCGGTTGGTAGGAGCTGGTGGCAGCGCAGCATATCTGCTTCCTTGCGAGTTTCAGCGTGTTGTTGTGATCATTGTCTTGTGCTGTAGAGTAGGCGTGCGAATGGTAGTGTGTAGGGATGCGGTGGACAGGAAGGCAGGTGAGGGAGGTGTCGAGATAGCGCGACGCCGAGCACAGACGGGTGGAGGCCGAGCGAGCGGCAATCGGGCGCGATCCCCTCCCGATTCTTTCGTTGCAATGCCAAGCCAAGCCGATGAGAACAATGAATTCGGCGCGTTGGCGGTGGGGGCAAAGCTCGGAGGAGCCGAAGTGCCGAAGTGCGCTGGACGCTGAGGACCCTTTGCAGAGAGCTCTTTGCCTCCCCATCACCACGCCGACGCCATCATCACTCACATTCCCCAACAAAATACCGTAGACTGAGCCAGAGCCAGAGCCAGAGCCAGCAGAGCAAAGCAAAGCAAAGTCTGGGTCGAAGAGAAGCGCAACTCGAACTCAAGGGACTTCAGAGCCGGCCACCCACTCGCGACGTTTCGACGATGCCGATCCGCCAATGATCCTTGCCGAGCCCGAATCTTGCTTCTGCCCCTCATAGATCCCGACTCTGCCACTTGGGCCGGCACCCAGTTGCTGCGTCATGTCGTCGCTACAGGCCCTGCGTCTGGCTGCGAGTCTGGTCGTCGTCCTTTGTGCCCTCGTCCCGAGCTGCTGGGGCCATGCGGTGCGCAGCCAAACGCGCGACTACGGTCGCTTCTCCCCCTCGTCCGTCAAATCGATCGCCGCCCTCTCGGATCCGGCGAGGCTGATCGACGTGCGCGATCCCAAATCGCTGCTATCTCGCATCCTCATCCCGCGCCCCGCCGACACGGACAACAGCCGCAAAGTGCGCGAGGCGATCCTCGACGTCTTCCGGCACGATCTCGGCTCGAGCGCCTCTGCCAGCACCATGGACTGGGCGCATCCAGGCAAGCTCGGGTGGCACATTGAGCAGCACTCTTTTCTCACCGACACGCCCGAGGGCAGGAAGAACATGACGAATCTGATCCTGACCAAGAACCCGGCGGCGCCACGCAAGCTGGTGGTGGCGGCGCACTATGATTCCAAGTACTTTTCGGCCGCGTCGGGGATGGCCGAGTTTGTGGGGGCGACGGATAGCGCTGCGCCGTGTGCGATGATGGTCGACCTGGCGGTGGCGTTGGATGATGCGCTGGACGCGCGCGAGCGCCGACTCCACACGCAGGAACAGGCCATGCCGACCATCGCCCAGGAGACCACGCTGCAGCTCGTATTCTTCGACGGCGAAGAGGCTTATCGCACCTGGACGCACACCGACTCGATCTACGGTTCGCGCGCCCTCGCTTCGCACTGGACGTCTACTTTCTGGGACGCCACCCAGTTCGACCGCAGCCGGAGTGCGGAGCATAGGCTGGAGGCACGAAGGGCTCGCGGTGCGTATGGGCCGATCGAGCACATCAACACGATCGAGCACATGGTGTTGCTCGACCTGCTCGGGACAGCCAACCCGACGGTACCTTCGTATTTCGACAGCACAAAGTGGATGCATCAAGCCATGGCCGATGCCGAAGCGCGCCTGCGCGACTCGGGCGTACTGTGGCCCGCAGGCCATTCGGGCGCACGCTCGTTCTTCTCGCACCACAAGCCATGGGGCGGGATCGAAGACGATCATCTTCCGTTCCTGCACGCTGGCGTACCGATTCTGCATATTATTCCCTCGCCGTTTCCGTCGGTGTGGCACAAGATCTCGGACGATGCTGGTGCGCTCGACTATGCGACGATGCATGCGTGGTGCATGATCCTCCGCCTCGCTGTAGCCGAGTACCTCGACCTCGACATACCCCCGCAGGGTAAGGCTAAGCGTGAGTACAAGGCCGAGCTGGTAAGTCCCCGTAAGGCGCTCTGACCGCTCCCACCACTAACCCCCATGCTTCTCATTCCGCACGCAGTAACATAAGCCCGCAACGTCGAAATGCCACATTGAATTGTTTTGATTGTTTGCACTGTGCGTGGCAGGATGATCACTGGCTTGCGGACGAGTCTCTGGAATCCACAGCCGACTTTCCGAGCCCCAGGAGCAGTTCGGCAGCCTGGTGGTCGTTGGGATCATCTCGCTTTTGCGGCGAGTCGCAGTCGAAGAAGCCGCTGTCGTCGTGCGAAAATGCCTGGGCAGTAGGAGCGGGGGTAAAGTTGGTTCGGTCGCCCAGCACGCGCGAGGGGGTGTGCAGATCCCACCTCCTTGCAAAAGGCGTGCTGACCGCACGCACGTACTGTGGTGTAGCTGTCAACCCGACCGGCCGCGAAGGATAGGCGAAGGAGCGCGACAACATTGGCGATACCATACCGATGCCGCCAAAGGGAGGTAGCTCTTCGACACGACGACGTTTAGCCGTCTCGAGCTGTGCGGTGGGTGCGATGTTTTCGTCGACACGCGCCGGTTTCTTGCGTGTGGCGGGGCGGTCGGTTTTGCGTTTGGCATCTTGCAGACGGCGCGTGAGGTCGGTTGCGGACAACGAACGCGCGGATGGCCGTTTGCGCTTGTCACCCGCCGCAGTCTCGGGTGCGGATCCAGGCGCGCGCGTTGAAAGCGGTGTGGACGCGGTAGGCAAGCGCATGCTGACGCTACGAGAGAGCGGTGTTCCTACGGGTAGCGCCGTAGTGGATGCACGATCGCGACCCGCGGCCCAATCGAGACTCACGGCGCGTGCGGGTGCCAAGCCAACCACCTTCTTGACCGCATCGCCGCCACCGACATTGGCAATCGCCTCTCGCGCATCGGCACGCGATTCCTGTCCCTTGGCCGCCCTACGCTGGGCGATGAGTTTGAGCGTCCGCTCTTCGTCCTCTTCATCGCGCGTGTCGTGCGCCGCATCCGCCTCGCTGCTCGACACACTGCTGCTGGGCATCATGCCCAACAAGCCGCTGCGCTCCACTTGTCCCTGCGCCGGATCGACGCCCGCAATAATACCCTGCCTCTGCAGCACGGCCGTGAGCTGTGGTGGCAAGCTCGATGTCAAGGATTCGCTCTGCGACGCTGCAGGGGACGCGGCTGTGGGCGTGGCGGCGATGTTGCCGATGCTCGCTCGTCCGCCCGAGGTGGTGAGCAGGCTCAGGCTGGATGCGCTCGATGCGCGCGAAAGCAGCTTGGGCGGCGGCAGGATCGTATCCAATCCCTCGTCAGCCGTTAGCGCTGCGAGCGGCGCGCGCTCCGTGGCCGCGCGTCGCAGCGTCTGGCTGCGTCCGCTCAGCACATCGTCCAAGGACAGACGTGGAGTGGATCGGTGGCGCGACAAGGTGGTCTTGGGCGTACACGCGTCCACCTCGACGTGCGCGATGCCCATACCCCGCGGCCCGACAGCCCGTCGCAAATCCCGCAGCGTAGACGCAGGCGCAGACTCGTCCAGCGTGTCTTTGCAGGGCTTGGCGGGGGTCTGACACTTGAGTGGCTCGAGGGGTGGGTGGCGCGAGGTGGTGGCGCGCGCGACAAGCCAGGGCGGGATGTTCTCCTTGTTGTCGCTGCTCATGTCGCTCATCTCGACCGGCTCGGAGCGCTTAGGCGCAGCCGCTGCGTTCTCACTCGCATTGCCCAGTGGCTTGCGCTGGGCAAGCACGGTGGCGGATGGCTTGGCGGGAGTCGACTCGACGGCTGGCGTCGACTGGCCCGTGCTAGGCGCTGCACCTGCGTTGGGCGCGATGCCCGATCCACCGTACCGGCCCGAGCGTTTCTTCTCGGCCTGTCGCCTGTTCTGGAACCACACCGACACGGCCCTACAATCCGAGGTGAAGGAAGCCAGAGTCAGTAACTGCCGGTGGACGTGGAGGTATGGTGGTAGAAGGGGGTGACTTACCTGACGGACATGCCTACGCGGTTGGCGAGGAAGAGGCGCGTCTCGTGGTCCGGGAACGCGTTGGTTGCGTATACCTGTGCGAGCAGGTTGGCCTCGTCTGGACGCGTGCGTCTCCTCCTGCGGATCTCGTTCTTTGCATCCTCGCCGACGACGCTGGCGGTGCTCTCGAACGAGTCGTCGATGAGCGAGGCGGGGGCTCGCATGCGCGGGTCGCGATAGGTAGGATCGCGTTCGTCGTCCTCCTGGTTCTTCTGGGCGAGGTTCGAGACGGACAGACGGTTGACGTCGATGGCGGGCGTGGGCGAGGCTGGCAACGCGCTTCGGTCTGCGGCGCGGTGTGCGGCGCTGATGGCGAGCGCGATGCGTTGCTGCGCACCTGGTTTGAGGTGGGCGTGCTGGGAGAGATGGTGGGGCGTTTGGGAGGTGTTGTGCAGATGCTCGATGGACATGACGCCCGCGGACGGGTGACTTGGGTCGGAGTCGGCCCAGTGACGGTGGCGAAAGGCGTCTCTGGAGACGACGGGTGTGCTGACGAGGTGGCGAGGGTGGAGACGTGGGCTGCCCGTGTGCGAGGCGGGATCGCTGTGGTCGCGAAGCTGGTCTTCGGCGCGTGGCGAGCTGGAGCGCTGTTGAAACAGTGGCGCGTCCTTGTTGATGTACGACGAGAAGCTCTCGACGGATGCGGCGGTGGGACTGCTTCGCGACTGGAGCTGCTGCGAGAGCGACTCGACGGCGCCGTCACGAGCTTCGCGAGCGTCACGACCATCGGAGGCGGACGAGCCGCGATGGCGCTGCGAGCGTTCTTCCAAGTCGAGACGCGAGTCGAGGCGCGAGTCGTGCTGGAGGAGCAACGCCGAGGATGCAGGCATGGCGTCGGCGCGCGCACGGGCACGAGCAGACACGTCCATCGCGCACCAGTGACGAGCAGAGCTGGATGAGGACGTAGGAGCAAGAGAAGCAAAGGCGCGAAGGCGGCGTAGACGAGTGGACGAGTGGAGTAGGGGCAAAGGAGAGAGAGCGCGGTCAGCTTGGCGGTCGAGCGTGTGGTGGTGCAGGGTCGCACACACCCTCTCTCTCTCTCTCCACGGCTGTGGTGACGGCGGTCGACGTGCCGTGTCGCAACTGTGTGCTCTCACTGTGCTCTCGCTGTGCTCTCGCTGCGCTGTGCTGTGCTGTGCGATTTTGGGCGCCTCCTGGCATTATTGCCAAAAGTGGCAGTGGAAACGCGATTGATTTCGCGCTGCAGAGCGCACTTTGCCTTTCCTTTTCCCTCGGCCGTCGGCGTGTTGGACTCGCTCTGCCTCTCCCTGCCTCTCTCTCTCAGAGCTAGCAAGGCCGGGGCGGCCACCACGCGCAGAGCAGCGCGCCCGCGCTTGGCTCCAAGTCCATCACAAGCTGCAAGCCCAGCCCAGCCCAGCAAAGACGCTGCTGCGCTCTTTCACAGCTGCAAAGCCCACAACCTTGTCACGCTCGTTGCACCATCACTAGTGGCCAAATATGTGGAAGGGCACCTCCCAGCTACTGTTCCTCCCGTCCCACGAGTACCGTATGACCGCAGCCTTCTCACGAGCGAACGAGCAAGTGCATGGCTTGCGGGCAGCTTCCAAGACGCTGACAAAAAAGACGGCCGTCGCGAAATCGAGCCACGACGCCCTTCCTTTTTATTTTTCCGCAGTTGCGTCGCGCTTTCGCGCTGCTCCGAGCGCGACTTTTTTCCTTTTTTTATTTCGCTCGTCTCTTTTGCTACCCAGGCGGTGCACGATCTTCTGCGCCTCGCATCGTTAGAGTCGGGCTTGAAGGTGCATGACGGTGCAACGCCATGCCGAGCGGGCCGACCAGCTGCGTCGCCAAAAGCGCTCACAGCATCGCCGAGTCTCCTTGCCTCTGTGCCCGTCGTGACGCGGACCTAGCCAGCTCCCATCTCCTAGCCCCAGAAGCGCCGCTGCGTCCATCTTCATCTCGATCCTGGCCCGCACGGATGCGTCCCTGGAGCCGCCGGTCTCGGGGCCTGTGCTGCTTGGCCAGAGCTCTATGCAACGAGTCGGCGTCAGAGTCGTCGTCGATTCGTCTCACTACGCACCGCGACGTGCAGTGTCTGGATCGCGACATCGCGCACGGGCACGACGGTGGGCTTGACTTGATCGGGCCATTGAGGGGCGTGCGCCCTGCGTCGTGGCCAAAGGTCAGGTGGAGCCAAACACGTCCGGTCGGCGCGAGGATTGGAAGATCCGCGTTTCGGATGCGCCGTTCGGTATTTTCTGCTGACAGCTGTCCGCGTGGCGCGCTAAAGTGGGTTCGTGTTAATGGCCCCAACCCGCGTCCGCACGCGCCGTGTCGGCTTCGGTCACATGACATCCACTTGTTTCCAAGTTTTCCGTGCCTGACTTTCCCGCCTGTCATTTCTCGGATCTTTTTTCGCGGATTCCCTTTTCTCGCAACGCCTTCCCGAACCGAAACGGCAACGACTGGGCGCGATCGGGCATCCCTCATCCCACCTTGTCCCAGCCCAGCGCATCATAAGCAGCGAGGTAGGGGAGCACCGGGATGCAAACAAAGCTACCACTGTCACGGGAACTTAGACTGAGGAACAACCGCCTTTTTGCCTTCTTGCCAACAGGCTTCGTCGCTTGCGGTGCCAGCATCGGTCAAGGTCCGCAAGGGTCGGGCCCGATGAGGATTTCCAGGTAAGAGATGTTAGGCCTCCACGACAGCTCGTCTCGAGGTGGAGGCTGCAACCAAATTCAGGCGCAGCTCAGCAGCCCAAGTTAGCAAGCAGGCTTGGCTGAGTCGCAGGAAGAATGGAACGGCTGCTTCCGCTGCTTCGGCTGCTCAGACCACCTCGGCCCCTCGTCATCCCCACATCACCTCCTCGACGGCCAACAGCGGACCACTCACAGTGATCAAGCTCGACCCAACCCACCGCCATCCAAGTCCCAACATGTCGCTGCAGGATCATCTGCGCTCCTACCTCCCCACCGCTTCCACCTCCCGCACCACGCTCGATGTCGATCCGTCGCTCGTTGCGTCGCTTCAAACCCAACTCAACGCCCTCCTCGGCTCTGGCGATCGAGCAACCGCACCTGCGAAGCCCAGAGACAACCACAAGCCACGTGCAAGCAGTCTCTGGTCGCAGCTGCGAACGCTTGATCGCCCAGAGCAACACCCTAGCTCCCAGGATGGGCCTCAACACACCTACGAACCCGATACAGCTTCGGCAGAGCTGTGGGACCAGGCAGACTACCATCCCTCACGCTCCTTGTCCGCTGCTGTCGGCGGCTTGGAAGACCATCTCGCCCACCTCTCGGCCGCAGATCCACAGCTCGCAGAGAGCTTACGTCAGACCGTCACTTCCGTCCTCTCCTCATCCCGCTCCGGCGACGAAATATCGGCCGAGCTCGCAGAAGCGATCGGCTTCGAGCATCTCGAACTCGTAGGGAGCATCGTCGCTGATCGTCAAGATGTACTCGCAGCGCTCCAGTCCCACCACCACACCATTCTTCCCGCACAGAATGGTGCAAACGGTCTCGACGCCCACCAACCCATCGAAATCGCCCTGCCGCAAAGGAATCATAAGAGCCATGCCAACGCGCACGACGCCTTCCATCGCGGCAGCCGTCCTCACATCCCAGGCTCTCAAGTCGTCGTGCAGACGCAAGAGGAGCGTCAGCAGGCACGCAGATTCAAGAACGATCTGCGCAAGGCCAACCGTCAGCGCGCCGAAGATCCCGCGGACAGCATCCGCACATACACTGCAGAGGAGCTCGAACACATCCGCGAACAGAGCCTCGCCGCCGCTGCCGATTGCCCGCTCTTCACAAGCGCACCCACTGGCGGCGACGAGGTTCGCTATCCGCACGTCTTTTCGTCAGGCGCACAAGGCAACGTACTCTCCGTCTTCGGACAGCGCTTCGCACTCCCCCTCGGCACCACCAGAGAGGAGAAGCAATTCTTCGAAGAGGTCACCATCCCGCCACCGCGCACCGTCCCCATGCGCACCGACGAGCGCTACATCCCCATCAACGAGATGGACCCCATCTGTCGCGGTGCCTTCCCGGGCTACAAGAGTCTCAACCGACTCCAGAGCGCCGTCTACCCGCTCGCCTACAGAACCAACGAGAATCTGCTCGTATGTGCCCCCACCGGTGCCGGTAAGACCGACGTGGCCATGCTCACCGTCATGCGGGCCATCAGTCAGTACGCTCGCAACATCGAACCCACCGCCGGCAACGCAGACAAGGGCTTCGACATCCGCAAGAACGACTTCAAGATCATCTACGTCGCTCCCATGAAGGCGCTCGCCGCCGAAGTCGTGCGCAAGTTCAGCAAGCGTCTCCAGTACCTTGGAATCAAGGTCCGCGAGCTCACCGGTGACATGCAGATGACCAGGCAGGAGATCGCCGAGACCCAGATGATCGTCACCACCCCGGAAAAGTGGGACGTCGTCACGCGCAAGCCCACCGGAGAAGGTGAGCTCGCCACAAAGGTGAGGCTCCTCATCATCGACGAGGTGCACCTTCTCCACGACGAGCGTGGTTCGGTCATCGAAACCATCGTGGCACGTACGCTCCGCCTCGTAGAGTCCAGCCAGTCGCTCATCCGCATCGTCGGCCTCTCCGCCACGCTGCCCAACTACGTCGACGTCGCCGACTTTCTGCGCGTCAACCGATGGCAAGGCCTCTTCTACTTTGACTCCTCCTTCCGTCCCGTGCCCCTCGAGCAGCACTTCCTCGGCGTAAAGGGCAAGGCCGGCTCCCAACAGGCGCGAGCCAATCTCGACAAGGCGTGCTACGAAAAGGTCTCGGAGCTCGTCCAGGCTGGCCATCAGGTCATGGTGTTCGTCCACGCGCGAAAGGAGACCGTCAAGACCGCACAGACACTCCGAGAGATGTTTCGAGAGGAGGCCATGGGCGACATTCTCCAGGACTCGGCCAACGAAAACCCGCGCAAGGCCTTCTTCAAGAAGGAGCTCCAGTCGAGCCGCAACCGAGAGATGAAGGAGCTCTTCGATGCCGGCTTTGGCATCCACCACGCCGGCATGCTGCGATCCGACCGCACCCTCAGCGAGCGCATGTTCGAGGCCGGCGTCACAAGGGTGCTCTGCTGTACTGCCACACTCGCCTGGGGAGTCAATCTACCCGCCTACGCCGTCGTCATCAAGGGCACCGACGTCTACGATTCGTCCGCGGGCAAGTTTGTCGACCTGTCCATCCTCGACGTGCTCCAGATCTTTGGTCGTGCCGGTCGTCCGCAGTACGAGGACCTCGGTGTGGGCTACATCCTCACCTCGCACGACCGCCTGTCGCACTACGTCGATGCCATCACCTCGCAGCACCCGATCGAGTCCAAGTTCATCGGCGGCCTCATCGACTCGCTCAACGCCGAAATCTCGCTCGGCACCGTGGCGAGCGTCAGCGACGGCGTGTCTTGGCTCGGCTACACCTACCTCTTTACTCGCATGAAGCGCACGCCTCTCACGTACGGCATGACGTACGACGAGGTGGCCGACGACCCGCATCTGGGCGCCAAGCGCCAGCAGCTCATCCACGTCGGCGTCAAGAAGCTCGTCGAGGCCAAGATGGTCGAGCACGACACCGTCACCGATCGCCTCCAGGTGACCGACCTGGGTCGCATCGCCGCAAAGTACTACATCGGCTACCGCACCATCGAGACGTTCAACGAACGCATGCGCAGCAACATGAGCGAAGCCGACGTGCTCGGTCTGCTCAGCCAAGCCGCCGATTTTGAGCAGATCGTGCCGCGCGACTCCGAGGAGAAGGAGCTCAAGAAGATGCTCGAGGCCGCTCCTTGCGAGGTCTCGGGCGGAATCGAGACGTCGCCGGGCAAGGTCGACATCCTGCTCCAGGCCTACATCTCGAGAACGTTCATCGAGGACTTTGCTCTCGTCTCGGACTCGGCGTACGTGGCTCAGAATGCCGGTCGCATCATCCGGTCGCTGCTCGAGATCGCACTGAGCCGTCGCTGGGCGACCACCGCATCGGCGCTCATCTCGATGAGCAAGGCCATCGAGAAGCGCATGTGGCCCTTCGACCATCCGCTGCAGCAGTCGCACCTCAACCCCGACACCATCTACGCCGTCACGGAGCGTGCCGACGATGTCGAAATCGCCGACCTCGCAGAGATGTCGGCAGCCGAGATCGCCAAGCTCATCCGCGTGAATGCGAGGATGGGGAGTGCAGTGCGCCACGCAGCGCGCAGCTTCCCGCGCCTGCACACCTCGGCCTCGCTGCGTCCGCTCAGCCACGACCTGCTGCGCATCGACCTGCGTGTCGACCGCGCGTTCGAGTGGAGCGAGCGCGATCTCGGCCGCCTTCACGGCTTCTACATCTGGGTCGAGGACGAACAGGGCTCGGACATCCTCCAGTGGCTAACGCATCTGACCCGCGTCACCGACTCGCACACGTCGAGTGTGACGTTCACGATTCCTTTGGGCGACTCGTTGCCGTCCGGGCTTAACGTGCGGTGGATGTCGGATAGTTGGCTCGGTAGCGAGGGCAGCGAGTGGATCCCCTTTGACGACCTCGTCGTCCCCGACAAGCCACCCGCCCACGATACGCTGCTCGATCTGCCCTTCCTCCCCGTGCGCTCGGCGCTGCACGACGAGCTTCTGTGCGAGATGTACGCGCAGAAGTTCAGCGCGTTCAATGCGATCCAGACGCAGAGCTTCCACACGCTGATGCACACGTCGGCGAATACGCTGCTGTGCGGGCCGACGGCGTCCGGCAAGTCGACGGTGGCAGCCATGGCTGTCTGGCGTGAGCTGCAGCAGCACCGCAAAGGATGCGTCATCGTGCTGCACCACAAGACCGACTTGCTCGCCTCGGCGTTCAAGGAGACGCTCGGCGTTGCGCTGAAGCAGAAAGAGGTCGAGATAATGCGCACATCGCTCTCGAGCAAGGTGGCTCCCTTCGTGTGCAAGGCAAGCGGCAGCGCACGCGTGCTCTTCACCACGCCCATCAGTCTGCTTCGCGCGCTGAATGGGCGCGAGGATCTGGCGGATCACGTGTCGCTGCTGGTGGCGGAAGACATGCACCTCCTGGATGCCGGCTACGAATTGGCGCTGGCCAAGTTCATGTGGTGTGCTGCGCGCACTCGGGCAGCATCGGACGGCGGCGTCGAGTCTGCGATGCCGCGCATCGTGGCGACGAGCGCCAGCCTCAACGACGCTCGCTCGCTGGCGCAGTGGATCGGTGCCGACGAGCTGTCCACGTACAACTTTCATCCGAAGGACCGGCCGTCGATCCTCACCACGAGCTTCCAGGCGTTCGACCTGCCGCATTCGAGCGGCCTGCTAAAGGCCATGGTCAAGCCGGCGTTCGACAAGATGAAGGAGAGCCGGGCGCTCGGCGCGGCCATCGTGGTGGTGCCTTCGGTGTGGCAGTGCTTCACGGTGGCATCGGACCTCATCACCAAGGCGGCGGCGGAGATGGACACCGACGGCTACCTCGGTCTGCCGTCCGAGGAGATCGAGTCGATCCTGCCGCACGTGCTCGACACGTCGGTGCACGAGGCGCTCGTGCACGGCATCGGCATCGTGCACGAAAAGACGGTGCGCGAGGACCGTGCGCTCATGGAGCACCTCTACGAGCAGGGCCTCGTCAAGGTGCTGCTCACCACGCGCGACTGCCTGTGGAGCACCACGTTGAGAGCGGCACTCGTGGTGGTGATGAGCACGCAGTACGTGCGCATCACCAAGGCGGGCAATACGGGCGCTTCCGACCGCGAGCTGGTCGACTATACGCTCGCCGAGCTCGGCAGGGCGCAGAGCCTGGCCGTCCGACCGGGGACGCTGTCTGAGCCGCATCCGCCCGGCGAGTGTCTGGTGCTGTGTCAGATGGACAAGGTGGACATGCTCGACAAGATGCTGCGCATGGGCATGCCGCTGCACTCGTCGGTGCTGCAGGACGATCGTCGCAGCGAGCCGCTGCTGCCCATCGTGCTGGGCGAGATGGTGGAGGGCGTGCTGCAGCACGAGGATCAAGTCATGGATCTGCTCAGCTGGACCATGCTGCCTGCCGAGCTGTTGCGCAATCCGACGTACTACGACTGCTCTGCTAGCGACGCGGCTTCGGTGGCGGCTCGGTTGACCCAAGTTTCAGACGCGCTTCTGCAGACGCTGCGTGATCTGCGACTCGTCGAGAAGAAGGCGGAACAGGGCAAAGGCGGCAAGGCGGAGGATCTGCGCGCTACGGATCTCGGCCGTGCGCTCCACCTGCAGCCGGGCTCGACGCTGCTGCACGTGGTGCGCTGGTTCAACAATCTGGCCGCCAAGCCGAGCCGGGCTGCCAAGGAGATGGACACGTTTGTGCCGTCGCACCGCAGCCGGCGCGACACCGATCCGATCGACGACAAGCCCGAGCGCGAGGTACTCGAGGCCACGCTGACTCTGGTCCCGCCCGAGTGGCGCACTGCATTCCGCCTCTCTGCTCCAGGCAAGGCCGAGGAGAAGGAGTCGGCGGAGGCAGCAGCAGCAGTGGCAGAGGATGGTGCAGCGGCCGAGGCGAGCGTCAAGGACTGGACGCATGGGCTCAAACACCGTCTGCTGCTGTGCATGTACTTTGCCCGACTCGATTTCATCACGCCTGCCACCGCCGCCTTGCTCGGCATGAGCAGGCGCGCCAGGAAGAGGCAGCAGCAAGAACAGGGGCACGACCCCACCGAAGACGGACAGCACGACGCTGCGGAACCCAGCGCGGCGGGAGAGGCAGATGTCCATGCGCAGGCTATCGCGAAGCTCGAGACCGAGATGGCGGCCGACCTGCTGGCGCTCATGAGCTCGATCAGCAGTGTGGGCGGTAGAAACTAGCGCTGTCGAGCGTCGCATGGGTGTGATGTTGCAAATGCTAGCCTCGGCAGTTAAGAGTTTGTTTGCTCCGTGCATCTGCGGGGGAGGGTTAGAGTTAGAGCGCCGGCCTTTTTCGCGGCACGCGGCCGGGCTAAAAGCCGACAACTGGGCGCGTGAAGAATTGATCGCAGCAAAGCCCAAGGCGTGGGGCTCGTACAAACTTTCACTTCCGACCTCGATCTTTGGCCTTGGACTCCCCACCCTCCGCTTGACTTTGAAACGGACTCGTACTGGAACGGACTGCAACGCTTCATATAGATTCCCCACCTCCCCTGGCGCTGGACGAAAGCAGGCTTCAGCTTCATCATCGACACGCAGATATCTCGTCACTTTGATCTCTCCATCCTCACCGCAGATCACTCGCATCGCTTTTCGCTCAAGATGACAGCTTCGGCGCCACAGGTGCTTTGTATTGGCTTTGGGGCGCTAGGCACGATCTACTCGTACCTGCTGGAGCGCGGTGGCGCGCAAGTCACTGCCGTAGCTCGGTCGAACTATATGGCGCTTACCACTTCGGGGATCCAGATCTCGTCGGCCAAGTACGGCGAGATCGCCGGATGGAAGCCGCACCGAGCGGTACGGGAGAGTGAGCCCTCGAGCGCATGCGATCGCGACTACGACTTTGTAGTATGCACGTTCAAGAACGTTCCGGACCACAAGAGCGCCTCGTCGATCATCCGACCCTTCCTGCGAGCGGGCAGCCTGCCCGTGATTGTGCTGCTGCAGAACGGGGTGGACATCGAGGAGCAAGTGCATCGGTCGCTTGTTCGGTGCGATCCGCCAGTGGCTAGTGCGGTGCTGAGTGCAGTCGCATGGATCGGAGCCAACCTGGCGGATGGCGGAAGCAAGGTCGTTCACGGTGCGCTCGAGAGGCTTGAAATGGGCGTATACCCAGCCCCCGACCAACCCTTGCTCGAGGATGGACGTCGAAGGCCCAGCGAGCAAGATCAGAAGGCACTCGAGGCGTTTGCGGCGATTTATGCTGCCGGTGGGGGTGGTGGTGAGGCGGTGGAGGATATCGAGGCGGTGCGGTGGAAAAAGGTGCTGTGGAATGCTGCCTGGGGCGGACTCTCCACGCTCGCACGCCAACCAGTCTCGACGCTGCTGCTCGACGAAACGCTGCACTACAGTGTCGGTGTAGTGCGCCGGACGATGCTCGAGATCGTCTATGTCGCGCGCGCCTGTGGGCTCAACGAGACACGATTCCCCATGGCAGCCGTAGACAACGCCGTCAACATCACCCTCTCCACCTCGTCTGTTCCCGGCGTTCAGGACCCTGCAAAGGGCGGAAATCTGGCTCCGGCGTTCAAACCGAGCATCCTGCTTGATCTCGAAAACGGCCGTCCCATGGAACTCGAGGTGATCATCGGCAACATCGTCCGCCAAGCTAGGAGGCACAATGTCGACACGCCTAGACTCGACCTCATCCTCGCCACGCTCAAGCTCAATCAGATCCACGCCATCCGCGCTGCAAAGGAGCGCGACCGAGGTCAGGGCCAGCAGAGCGGCGACGCGGTCACCACCTTCTCCCAGCTCAAGGCTACGTCGCGAGGCAACTGGCCCGCTGGCGCACCCGTCTCGCAAAACCCCCACACTTATCTCTAAACCCCCCCCC